AAGAAGGATTTTGTGTGAACCATGCTTAGAGAAACATGCACAGACTGCGTGATGATGGCCTTGGGGATTGAGCCTCTCCATTCAGGCCAAGGGGCCTGAGCTTGCCCGCTGATAGCAGGGAATCTCTCTGAGAGCCATCGTATAAACAGTGAGACCATGGTCGTGAGTTCCTCCAGTAAGGGCAAAAGCCGGAAAGAAAAAGCCTCAGTAAGAGCAATTCAAGTTGTCGTGACTTTGACAAGTTTTCCCTTAGAGGTCAAGTTTGCTAGCAAGACAACACGAAGGTCAAAAGATTAGTCAGTTTTTCTGACCCTTTCTTATGGAAAACGCCTTATATTTGTATCATGTAAATAAGCAAAGTTATTGTGACATACAAGCTTTGTTAAATAGTTTAAAGATTTTTGGAAGCAAAATTTCAGGCCGTTATTTATTAAAGGAAGTAATACATTCTTAATTTACTGAAAGATCGCGGCGCTGTTCTACTGTGATGTTTAAGTGCTGTCACATTGGGCAAACCCAGATAGAAGTCCTAGATAAGAGTCACGCTCAGCTGATGCGGACCTGTCTCCACTGTGCTGGCCGCGAGCGTCCTGTAAGTCCCCGGACGCGTCAGAGGGCAGGAATCTCGGACACTGGTGTGCACGGTGAGCCGCAGCATCACTGCTAAAAGGGGTCTCGGTTCCCCTGGTTCACCGCGTCCCTGCAAGGACCTCACTTGCCTCTGAGGGGCTCAAAGAGTTAAGGGAGATTTGGACATGAAGGTATTTACGAGCTGTCAGTTGCTAAGTTCTAGAATTTCCCAACAGCATGTGGTCCCATTCAGAAGCTACATCAGGGTTGACTGTGCTCAGTCCACACTCTGAGCCCAGGTAATGCTTCTGTCTTGATAAATGTACATGTTGACCAACTAGGCTTGTGTGGTTTTTGCCCATTTTTGGAAGGCAGATCTGCTCTCAGACTGTTGAGTCGGGTAGAGAGACCACCACAAACCCCACCAAGCCTCAGAAGAAGCCCAGGGGAAGAAGTGCACAGGATGGCCCTTGGAGGGGATTCTGGAGCTATGGGCTGGGCAGGTTGCTGGGCAAGTGAGCTTGCCCAGCTCATCAGTGCTTCTGGAGCTGGAATTCCAGAATGGACTGTCCTGAGATAGGGGAGGAGATGGGTGGCAGGTTGACAGCCCACAGGTGACTGCCCCATGGGGAGGGTGGGCAGCTCCATGCTGTTCTTGACTTTTACCCTGAGGGGGGCCCTGGGGGCACAGACCCTGCCAGTCAGACTGGGGTCCCAGGGGTCATGCAGGGCAGAGACTGATGGGAGGTTCTGCCCACAAATGGTAATTCTCAAGGATTTCACCAGCCACCTATTGTCCTTTTCTGCAGTTCCCTTCTTAGTGAAGGGACAATCTGGGTGACAACATAATTAAGGAGCAGAGACAGGGGAGGTCCTCTCATGGAAACACTGTCCTGTGGTTTCAGCTCACGTTAGACGAAAGTGGACGGAGCCTGTCCTTGGGCATAGGTTCCCGTGTTTATAAACCCTCAGGGAACAGGAGCATGGGAGAATGGTGTCTGACAGGAAGGCTGCGTTTGTTGGAGGCCTCAACTCTGTTTGCACGGGGATGAGCTCTAGCAGGTGGGCTCTCGGCCAAGACAGCGCGCTGAGCCTCCTGGAACCAGGCACTCTCCTGTAGATGGGGTGTGAGCTCCACACAGGGCTGCTTCGCTCACGGACGACCCTTGCCAACAGTGGTGACAACTCAACTGAGTCTCACGTGCACCATGGCTCATCGCCCCCGGGGGGTGGGCCCTTGGTGTGAACGGCAGAAGGAAAGCTGGGCAAATGGCAGTTAATCGAAGGATCTAAGCTTTAAAAATGCACTGGCAGCTTGGAAGCTTAAGGAACCATAGTACTGATACTTCCAAGTTTTGAAATAGACAAGCTAAGAGCACTGATTTAGATTTTTCTCCCAGTGTGCTTATCTATGTTATAAGTAAAATTAAGAATCCAATACTTGGTCTAAGTCAGTGAAAATTGTAGGACTGTGTTTGCCTATTCATTCATTCATCCATCCACTCTTCCATCTACCCACCCACCCATCCATCCACACTTCCATCTATCCACCATCTATCCACCCATCCATCCATCCATCCACTCTTCCATCCATTCAACCACCCATCCATCCATCCACCCACCTACCCGTCCATCCACCCACCCATCCATCTATCCACCCACCCATCCATCCATCCACCCACCCAACCACCCACTCTTCCATCCATCCATCCATCCATCCATCCATCCATCCATCCATCCATCCACTCTTCCATCTGTCCACTCATCCATCCATCCATCCACCCACCCACCCATCCATCCACTCTTCCATCCATCCAACCATCCATCCATCCATCCATCCACCCACCCATCCACCCACTCTTCCATCCATCCATCCACCCACCCACCCACCCATCCATCCATCCACCCACCCATCCATCCATCCACCCATTCACTCATTCTTCCATTCATTTATCATTCATTCACCTGTTTGGCAATGGCTCCTGAGGGCATTCAGGGGAACAGTCAGCTCCAGGCCAGGTACTGGGCAGATAGATGCTGTCCTTCCCCTCTGGGAGCTTCAGCTCACAGTTTAGCAGCCTGCAGTTTAGCTCACTCCCTTCTATCTTCAGCTGTTTAAGTAAAGCAGAAGCAAACCCCTGAGAAAAATGATTGCCAGGTGACAAATGGTCCCATTTCCAACCCCGGTGGTCCTGGCTATTCCCTACTCCTGACCCCACCCCAGTCCTCATGCAGCCCCATGCCAGGCCTTGCTCCTTATGTGGTCAAAAAGAAAGAGGGTAAGTTTGTAGGTCACTGATCCCTGGTTTTAAATCTGGTTGTCTGATCCCCATGGGGTAATGCTCATGAGAGTCAACCCAGCTCCTAAACCTCAGGCCACGGTTTATGTGTGGCCAATTTGTGGTGCAGGTGGGGGCCAGCTCCTGTGTTTGGTGCCCTTCACTCATGGAGATTTCCATAGGTCCTCCTCTCTGGTCAGAACTTTGAAGGACAGTTGGAAATGTCTCTTTCTCTTGGGAGAAAGCATAGCGGTTTTAGGTGTATTTATCTCAGCTTTGTAGTTATTCAGGGTTAACCATCTCTGCCCTAGATTAGCAGCCAAATTAGCATCATCCCCACCCCAAATAAATCTAGCTCACAAATTAGGATAAATTGTCACCAGGTTATGGCTCTGTGGTTTCAGAACCCACATTCCCGTAGGTGTGGTTAACTGAAGGGAGGTGCACATGTCTTTTCTCAGTGATGCTTTTCCACAACAATAGAACTCATTATTAAAGCATATGACAAATAACTAGTAACAGTCATGGTTTTGAAAAATATAATAGAGCTTTCTGGAAAGCTGTGATAATGCCACCACTTACAACAACCGGGTACTCTGCCCACCGTTCCTCATTGTTTCCAGTCTGATTCTTGGTTTTCTGAGTGGACACATCATGCACCCATCCTAAATCTTTCCTTCAGAGCCAGAGCCGTTCCCTTTGTGACAAAGTCTGGGGCAGCTTTGTCCCTCTAAACCCAGAAGATACCACTGCCTGCCTGCCCTCGGCTGCGGGGGCTTTGTCAGGGCGCCCCTCCTCGCCGGCCTTCCCTGTCTGGGCGTTACCCGTCGGTGACTGAAAGCCACACAAAGACATGAGGGTGGCGGGGTGCCCCCACCCTGACCAGCACTGGCCTCCATCACATCTGCCTCAGTGGCGCCCTCACAACCGTCACATGAGCTGAAATAACAAACTCGCTCTGACCAGGACTTTTCTTTTAAAGGAGTTGTGAGTCTTTTTAAACCACATCTTTACCAGAACATGACTTTCTGGAAACACATCTGAGGGCGTCTTTGCAAAGTGTCCCTGGCATCTCTGCCCGTGCTGTGGTAACTGGGGGGCTGGCCAGCCCGTGGGCAGCCCTGGGATCCCCTCTGCCTGTCACTGCAAAGGCAAGGCCAACCCTGGTCGGCGTGGTTCCGGTGACCATGTGCCGTCCAGAGCTCATCCTGGCTTCCCGACCTTGGTCACACGCCACAGTGTGTTGTGAACATCCATCTGCCCGTCTCTGATAACGGGCTCGTTTAACCAACCATGCTGTGGTGGCGCGGGTCGGATGGAACAACCTACCCTCACAGATTCGTACCCATATGCAGCCGACACCCAGCAGCTGGTGAGGGCTGCTCCTGCATCGCTCGGTTCCATCAGGGGGCGCATCTATGGCCAAGCTGCTCTGTGATGGACCCTAAGTGGGATACGACAGTGGACGGGTGGGGGCTGCTTTAACCAGCCCGTGGCCTGGCGTCTGTGGCTGGGGCCACGGACCCTGGGGACAGTCCCAGCTGCTCCCTGCTGTGGCCAACACGAGTGGTCCTAGTATTGGACGGCCAACATGGACGATGCAGACCTCTTAATTTGCGTTCATGGACAGAAGGACCCCAGCTTGCACCCTCCATACCTCATCTAACACCAATTTCTTTTACCAGTACAGTGGATGCAAATCAGTGCTCATGTGCTCATGGTCCCACCCAGGTCTGCACAGCTCTGGGAGGAGCCTGGCGTCCGCGAGGGTCTAGACGATTATACCCATGGCCATCCTCATCCTATGAGACGCTTTACGCAGCACCCCCTAGGTCCCTTAAATGACATCACTGTTGCTGCTTCCAGAAGATCTAATCATATCAGTGGTTTTGCAAACATCATTCTCTCCCACTTCCTCTCCTCATGCCATGGTCTTCATGGCAGAAAGTGGCTTTCTGGGTGCTTCTCCTCTGCTGTTACTGGGCCAGCTGTGGAGAACCCCCCCCTTCCTCAGACACCTGTCTCCCTGGTGTCTGTCTCTGCCTGCTGGGGAGGAAGGCGAGGTCCCACTGCCCAGCTGCACCGGGGGCTGTTTGGGGAGCCTCGTACCGTGTCAGTAAACTCTTGCCCCTTCTTCTTCTTTTTCCGCAGGACTATTTTTATCCAAGATACTTAGGTAAGTGTACATCCCTGCTTCTGAAGTTGTCATAAGAGAATAGAGGGGTATGTGTCACGTGTCCGAGACAGCTGAGCCAGCTCATGACCCAGTTACTCCCGGAGGGGAGGCTGTAATCCCACAGTAGGTTTGGGACTACGTAGAGCATGCCAGTCAAAACACCGGTTTGTGTCTTTCACGCCACAGGATCCGTGTTAACCTCGATCCAGTGCCATTATTTGCAAACAGCTTCTCGGCTCTGACTCCAGGCTTAACTTATTGTTTGGGAATGTGATTGATTTAGTGGGTCTCAGACATTTTGGTCTCAGGGTCTCTGCACTTCCAAAATTACTGAAGACCCCAAAGAACTTTTGTTCATGGGGGCTACATATGTTGCTATTTGCCATATTATTAATCAGAACTGAGAACAGTAAAAACTGTTTTTGTTTAATTTGAACAAGAAGGAATGTATGAGCAGACACCCCTGGCCACCGAGCAGGGATATCACTGTGCTGGTGGCCTCTGGAGAGCTCCCCTGTGCACTTGGGAGAGAAAGTAAAAGGACAAATGACAGCCCAGTCTAACCTGGACAATGAGAAAGAGCCCCTGATTTCTCTAAGAACTGTTCCTTTAATTAATACCATTTTAAGAAATTTTTGGATGCATATCACTTAATAATGAGATAAATCTATTCCAGGGTCTTCCTTTTTAATTTTGTAAAGTGCATTTTGGTAAATTTTCCATTGGCCTTATATCCTCTTAGAGGTTCTTTCTCTGGATCTATATCTGGCAACAAGCAAAGTGGACCCATAATTGGCCCTGAAAAGCCAGAAACCTGCCCGCTCCCAGGCTCCCTGTCGGCCTCCACAGGCCTGGCCCCTGGGTACTGGGGGTTTGCTTCCAGAGGCAAAGGGTGACCAGCTATCCCAGGAGTCCCCTCCAGGTTGCCCGGGCCCTCGTCCTCCTGGACATGGCATAGTACCAGGGACCCTACTGAAGGATGAGACGTGGCTCAACACTGTTGTGCACAAGTTCAAGTTTCCGGGCACTTTCCTCTGCTCCTGTGTGCACCCCTGGTTCATCAGATGGATGGTGCGGGTGTGCAAAGCAGAATGACTTTCAGAGTAAGGGCAGTGTTTCCAAATGGGGGTCCACTTGAAATTGAAGTTTAACTCTCTGATCGCGATCAGAAAACTCCCTGAATGTTATCAGTGATCCTTTAGTGCCATAGCAGAAGGAATCCCCGGGAGAGGCTGCAGACAGACCTTTGGACACAGAATTCTGCCCTTTTGGTGAAGGCATTTTCTTGCCTGCCAGTGTTAAAATGATCTGTAATAGAGGCACCTGGGTGGCTCAGTCGTTAAGCGTCTGCCTTCGGCTCAGGTCATGATCCCAGTGTCCTGGGATCGAGCCCCGCATCGGGCTCCCTGCTCCGCGGGAAGCCTGCTTCTCCCTCTCCCACTCCCCTGGCTTGTGTTCCCTCTCTCACTGTGTCTCTCTCTGTCAAATAAATAAGTAAAATCTTCAAAAATCTTCAAAAAAAAATTAAAAAAAATCTGTAATAACTAAAACTGAACTCTGTTGTTGCTTCAGCACCTAGTAAACATGAATAATCTCCTTTTCCAGAGGTGTCTCAGAGATGACATAAGTTCTAAGGTCCGTCCTGTCTCCTGTGACAGGAATGACGTGCTTTCCGTCTCTCTCTTGCAGACTGCGTTAGTAAATATGGATCTCCGTACACAAAGAGCCCAGATTTTGTTACATGCGTTCAAAGTAAGTTTGTCTCCTTCCTGTCTTCCTCCAAGTCCTGTGGGTTTGGGTAACTTCAGGCTTTGCTGTGGTTTTCAGGGGTCTTGAATGTTTCCGTCATCCTAAGAAGGTGTAGCACCGGCCTGAGCTCTGCTCCTTTTCCGCTGAACTTTCTCTCTTAAGCAAGTAAGGTCTGGTTTTTTAAAATAGGCAAAGGCGCGTGCAGCGTGACATCTGATAACCCTTTCACAGGTGTGAGGAGCGGGTACGTCTCTGTGCCTCCCAGTCAAGCAGCTGGGCGCCCAGAATATTCTTAGACCTACTTAGGTGCACAGTCTTTGGTTTTGCACACATGCTAGCTGAGTGTAGCTGTTCATTGGCCACCGCCGCGGGCAGGATGTCTTCCAGCTCGGCGCGTCCAGAGCCCGGGTGTCCATGAGCACCGGCCTGGGTAACCAGAGTGCATTGCTGGACTTCAGGCTACTTCCAGTGTTTTATAATTGCAGACAAACCTCACACAGGTCAGAGTGTGTCTGCGGGGTGGGTTCCCAGCAGTAGGATTGTGGCCCCCAGCCCGCAGGCATCGTTCACTTTGATGCAGATCCGGCGGGGTGATTGGCCCTGTCGCCGTGTCTTTGCTAAGCTGATGTGTGTTTTTACTTTTTGGTCTCTTTCAATATCAACGGTGAAGAATGAGGGCTGGTCTTTCTGTTTATATTTTTCTCACTAATGAGTGAAGCTGAGCTTTACGTGTTCAGAACCTTGTGTTCTTTTCCTGCAAGTGATTTGCCTGTTTTTCTCAATTTGTAGGAGCTCTTGATTCGCCATTTGTCCTAAAGGTAGCACAATTTTTCCTCAGCTCATCATGCATCTTTCTTAGTAGTAGTAATGTCACTTTAAACGATCATACAGTAAAAGTGACTTTTTGCTTGTTGGTTCTGTCACATTTGAGCCAGGCGTGGAAGAATGCTGCACCCACTGAGCTGGCACGGACTCTGGGCCTTGCTCAGGTCCGAGTGCCTCGTGAGGCCAGCTGCCGGGTCGCCCCCAGCCCAGGTGTCAGTACGTTCTCCGCAGGTGTGGGGCAGCCGGGCTCTGAGCGCACCACCCCTGCTGCTCAGCAGGGCTCTTGCTGCATTCCACGTGGGGCCCGCACCCTCCGGGGACCCAAGAAGGCAGGGGAGGACCCAGAGCTGCTCACGGGGCCTGGCCTGCGTGGGTGGGTGGTGCTGCTGTGTCTGGACACCCACCTATCCACGTGCTGGCCGCAGGCCTTGTCTGACTGGCCAGGTCCAAGCCCCAGCCCAGAAGAGCAGAGGAAATGACTGATTTTACTCAGGAAGGGGAGGGGAAGGTGGCGCTGCCGTTAAGCTCCCGTTCCCCTCTGACCTCAGGGCAGCTCACATAGCAGGTGCAGAGCAGACTGGCTTCTGATTTTGGGTAGAAGTGCCTGTTGACTCGGGGTGGCCAGAACCCATGCCCATGTATCATGGGCAACCTGGAGCAAGCCCCCTCCCTCAGTCTCCCAGGGTTCGACCTGTGACCTCGGCCTCCGTGGAGTCAACCCGTGACCTCGGCCTCCGTGGGGTCAACCCATGACCTCGGCCTCCGTGGGGTCAACCCGTGACCTCGGCCTCCGTGGGGTCAACCCGTGACCTCGGCCTCCGTGGGGTCAACCCGTGACCTCGGCCTTCGTGGGGTCAACCTGTGACCTTGGTCTCCCCGGGGACAACCTGTGACCTCGGCCTCCATGGGGTCAACCCGTGACCTCGGCCTCCATGGGGACAACCTGTGACTTCGGCCTCCATGGGGTCAACTTGTGACCTCGGCCCCTCCAAGGGCCGAAGTGACCTCAGTGGGGCTTTAGGCAGACATTAGGGGGTGGGGTTTTCGCAGTTTTAGCTTTGTGTCATTTCGGCTTTTTGTTTTTAGCAATTTTTTTTATTGTTTGTCAATTTGCTAAACCAGTTTCTTCCTTTGAAATTATGTATCCAAATTGATTAGATAGTTTTAGTTCCTGGGTTTTAGACTGTGCTTTTCCAGAGATTATAAACAATTACCTGGTGCTTCATGCCTCCTGACCACGTGAGGATGTAAAATCATCGAGCTTTTGCTCAAAGGGAGGCTGCAACAATCGTGGGCCACGTCGTGCCCACGTGAGAGATCTTGTGGTGTTAGAGGGACTCGAATTATTCGAACAGCAACGATTCGCTCTGAATGGGCTTGAGGTTTCTGTCCTGGTGGCGGGTGGCCAGGGTGTGGAAGGAAGGGGTGTTCCTGAGCTGCCATTAGGAGGACAGATCTCGTGCCATCGCCATGTTGCGTGAGCTCCCAGCCGACCAGGACGCTGCCTCCCACGCCTGGCCTCTCCGTCCTGCCCCTGGGCCAGGCACGCTGTCCTCCATGGGTGCCCGTCAATTCTCCGAAGCCTGGGGCACCCCACAAATGCGGCGCCATCCTTACTGGGGACGAGGCCCCGAGGCCTGCCGCTCAGGAAGGAGGCACGCCCTGCCCGCCCCCCACCCCCGGAGCCAAACCCCAAGCCACCCCGCAGAAGTTGGTCTCAGCCCCTGAATGCGGGGACCCTGAGGTTTCATTAGAGGGGTTTAGGCATTCTAGGCAAATTCCAAAGTTAACCAGCCCTCGTGCCAAATGCACGGTTACGCACTTGTGAAATAACTAACTCTTTAACCAAGTACGTCAAGTGGAGACACATACCGTCCGCCTGCCCTCCCTCCCTCAGAGGCCCCTCCAGGCTCCTGCTGTGAGCAAGCTGGCCAGGATCCGGCACACGACCCCTCCTGCCCTCAGAGCCCTTCGGCGCTGGGCTTGACCTCACCCTCCCTGGCCCTTCTGCGCTCCAGAGAGTAACCTGCGGTGCAGCCAGTCCGGCGGCGTGGGGACCGCAGGGCTGACCTGCCAGGCCCCTGGGCAGCTGTGGGACGCACTGTTCCCAGACCCCATTTCCTCATTCCTGCCCATTCCTACTTGCGTGCGGGTAGAAGGCATTTCCCTCGCCCTGCCAAAAACAACTGTGCAAGTGTCACAAAGCCCTTGGGGACGCTGTGTTTGGCCAACACTTGCCACAGGAGGAACCCGTTGACAGACATGGTCCCAGTTGTTAGGATGCAGGCCAGTATGCAGATTCCCCGAGAAGTGGGACCCTCCCTGACAGGTCACAGACCTGCGTGGGACAAAAGGACACAGCTCGGCGGAGTGTTGAGTCACGCTGCCAAGAGTGGACAGGAGACTGGGGGGTCTGGGGATTGCAGGGCCGGCGAGGCCCAGACGTGGCCCTGCTGGAAATTCGCTGCCGAGGACCAGGACCAAGCCCTGTGGCAGAAATTCAGAGCCCAGTCCTGGCGTCAGGCTGGAAATGTCAGTCATTTTAAGAAAGAAGAGATGAATTGGTGGTGAGTGCCCACCTGGCCAGCCTCCCCGCAGGACGGACACAGGCCTGAGCTCTGGGCTCTCGGTGGCCCTGTTGGTTCGGGCAGAGGGAAAAGCTGGAACGCCATCACGGAGCCAGACAAGCCTCTCCACCACGACCCACCCGCTGCATGGTTGCGATGGGCCAGTCACTTCGTAAATATGACGGAAGTGTTTGTACCCGGCGGGGGTCCTATGGGACGCGTGGCCCTGGAGAGGCGGTTGCGGGGTGAGAATGTCCTGTGGCTGGTTTGGGCCAGTCCCGGGTGTTACCTGCCCTCCACGGCCTGGCCGGCCCCTCGCCCGGGCCTGGGGATGGGTATCAGCCAGTCGGCCTGGGAGGCCACAGTCCGTAGGGCTGCTGGGGAAATGTCCTCGTGGCCCTCCAGTGACAACCACCCAGAGTAGCAGGATTTGCCATGATTGTCACTGCAGCTGAAGGGATCTCGAGGTGGCCGTGAGCGCTCGGGTGTCACCTTCCCCTTCGTGCTGGCCCTCGGTTTGGACCTTAGCCACGGACCCTGTGCTGTCCAGGGGCTGGACGAGGCACGTGTCCACACTGGAGGACAGGACAGAAACGGGAGCCCACAGAGCCACCTCGAGCTGTTTACTGTCCACACGGGCGTGACAGGAAGGGCGGCCACGGCTTGTCAAGCAACAAAGGCATGAGCACACCCACACAGGGGCTGGGAGGGACAACGAGCAGGCTGATCTGGAGCCGGAGATCTCGTGGGCCTGCTGTGTGAAGGGCACGGTGGGCGTGGCAGAGGCCGGTCTGTGCCCGAGGGCAGTGCGGACAGACAGATGTCAGGCATCAGCTCCCTCGTTGAGATTTCCAGAGACCTGGTCGGGGGGTGGGGGGTGAGCTTCAGAGACTCAAGGCTGGCCCTCTCCCTACGGCCTGCCTGCCCGGCCGGCCTGGCATTCTCTGCCCCCGCGGCTTCGGGCTGAGCAGCTCCGGGACAGAGGAGTCCCTCCTTGCCTGCCCATCCAGCATGGCCATAGCCCGGCAGAGGATTCTTGGAGCTCTGCTGTCCACCTCCAGCACCCTGGAATGTGCGGCTGCCCATGGGTGGGGCTCTGCCTCAGCCTCTGAGGTGGGGGATGGTCCCTGGGAGCTGGAGCCTCAGCGGCCTATGCGAAGCTCTTCACACACCGAGCCCCTGGAAGGCACTCCATGTGACAGTCTCAACCATAGCCCCTAAAGCAGGTGGAAATTGTTCGGTGATTGATGCTCTGGGCCAGGCAGACCGCCGCCCGAGCAAGGGGGTCAGAGCAAACCGGCTGGCACCCCTCTCTGGAAGGGCCAGGGCAGCCCCCCATCCAGTGACGGGTGTGGGGGTGCTCCTGCAGCAGCCAAGCCCTGGCGGGGGAGGGCGTTGGCAAAGGTCGGTGGTAGGGTTTGAGTGGACAGGGTGCCTGGCCTGGGAAGGTGGGGGTGTGTTCCTCATGTGACCCCTTGGGTCAGCCAGGGGTCAGTGGGCCTGCCCCTTGTGAGGTCAGAGCGTATGGAGTCGGGCCAGGCCCTGCCCGATGGGCAGGTGGCCACTCCCTCTGAGCTGACCTGGATTTCTTGGACCCGGACAAGGGTCCGCCCAGCCTTTCCCAGGACCGCCCTCCTGCCCGGAGGTGGGGTCTGTGCCACCAGCCTGGGCCTGCCTCGTGCCCACCCCTGAGCTGCTCCCTCCCAGCTGACCCTTTTCTCCTTTCTTTTGACACAGACCTGCCTGACCAGTGTTCCCCGAACCCCTGCGACAAGAAGGGGACCCAAATGTGCCAGGACCTCATGGGCAACTTCTACTGCCAGTGCAGGGCCGGCTGGGGCGGGCGGCTCTGTGACAGAGGTGAGGGGGCCCTGCAGCCACGGGCGGGGTGGCGGGACTCTTGGGGGAGGGGCTGTGGCCCGTCCCTCTGTTTCCAGCCTGCCCCGCCCCCGGGGACACAGGGGGCTTGTTCCAGCTAAGGCAGGAATCCCAGGCTGTCCGGGGACCTGGCCACTCAGGGGCGGAGGGAGAGCAGGGGCAGGGATGCCCCCAGGGCCCCTCCAGCCCCCGAGAGCAGGAATATTCAGACAGTGTGGGAAGGCCCTGCTTCTGCCCCCAAGCGCTGGGTGCTGTCCAGTTTGAGAAGCATCGGCTGCTGCTGGCGGCCTGGAATGAAGGAAGGAGCCACCATTGGGCTGCCCCAGGGGGCTTGGTGTCTGGGGACGAGAGAGTTTCACGGCCAGCCTCCCTGCCTGCAGTGGGGGGCGGGGGGGATGCCCAGGACCTGGTTACCTCGGGGGGCCCCTTCACGGCGGTGCCGAGCCACCCCGGGCGGCAGGGGGGCTGCGCGAGTGGGGGTCGGCAGGCTGAGTCTGGCCAGATCCACCCTCTCCAACCCCCGCCCTCCGCCCGTGCACACTGCGGGCACGGAGCTGGCCCCGAGGGCCGTCACTGCCCCCAGTGCTGCGGGGTCTCCCTTGCCCTCTGCCCACGGCGCAGACGCATGCCCCCCGGGGGTCGTGTGCCGGCTCCGGGCACTCCCCCGTCTCTCTGTGTCCTGTGTCCAGATGTGAATGAGTGCAGCCAGCAGAACGGGGGCTGCAATCAAATATGCTTCAACAAGCCGGGCAGCTTCCACTGCGCCTGCCTCAGCGGCTACGCCCTCTCCCCCGACGGCAGGACCTGCCGAGGTAACGCCCGGGCCGCGAGCCCCTCCCTGCCTCCCTGTGCCCACCCCCCGCCCCTCCCCTTGTTGTTTGTGCAGTTGCCAAGTTGCCAGAGTCAGCCCGATGGCCAGATTGCTGAAGTTGACAGTCCCGTGGGCTCCTCCGAGAGAGGCTCTGGGGGGGCGGGAAGAGGGTGGAGGGCAGCCCGCAGAGCACATGTCCGGGCATGTCAGCGGCCACAGGAGCTGCCCCAGCACCCGGCACAGGATGACTCACCGGGGTCTGAGGACCGGCCAGCCCAGCTGAGGAGACCTCCCCTGCTGCCCCAGGAAGGGGAAGCAGCTGCATGCATCCGTGTGACCGGAGCCCAGGACGGAGCCCCGGGAGCCCAGACAGGGGCTGGGGCGGGAGCAGAGCCTTCCTCTGACCCGGGAGGCGCGCCTGTCCACGCCCGCCCGGCTTGCTTCCCCAGGGCCCCGACACCCGCTTCCCTCCGGCAGAGGCTTGCTGTCCACTGAGCAAAGCAGAAGCAACTCAGCCCTCCCTCAGTCTGGGGGCCCCGTGGCCCCGCGCCCTGACCACCCCAGAAAGTCTGCAAAAGAAGGGCAGCCCACTTTACCGGGGGCTCTCACCCTCGCCGCCCCCGCCCCCGCCCCCCGACACAGACCTGCTGGCATCCACTGCTGGCGTGTCCCTGAGAACCTGGACCTTTCTTCAGTGCTACCCGCCTACCTGGGGGTGGGACAGAGTGCTGAGGGAGAAGCAGCCTCAGGAGAAGGCTCGCGCGGCGGCCAGCGCCACAGGTGAACCTCTGAGTCGGACAGGACGAGGGGCCCCCTTCCCAGAGCTGCCGGCTGGCCCCGAGGCCAGAAGAAAGGGACGTCTGTGAGAGCGGCCGAGGGCGTCCCCATGTTGGGCACAAGGACTGAACACATTCGCCCAGTGGCCTCCGGATCCCTGTTCTCTGCAGCCCTCAGTCCCGTGCGGGGCGCCGTGCTGCCGGGAGCGTCCTCGGGGCCAGTGGCTGATGGTGCCGAGTGCCACGCGGGAAGTCCTGCTCTAGCCTCCTCGGAAGCCCCTGAGAGGCAGAAGTCTACTTCCCACCCGCTCACCAAGTCTGTGGTGTGTGAGAGAGCCTGAGGGATGCCCTGCTTCCCAGCGCCCTTCCCCTCGGCGCCACATGCAGGACAGGGCGGCAGGGTCTTGCACCCGCGGGTTCGGCGGCCGCTCTCCGTAGCATGACTGATTCATGATGAGCGTGATGGCAGGTGCCCACCTCCGCTGCCAGGTTTCAGGGCGTGCCTGCCGATACCAGCTCACGTACACCCTTCCTCTTGACCATCACCTGTTTCTCTGGGGACCCTGGACCCCAGACCCAGCCAAAGGAGGAGGCTGTAAGGAATGAGGAGCCTTGTCACTGTGGTACGGACTTTCCATCTTCTCCTCGATCAGACCCTGAGATGCTGGGAAGGGGGCAGTGGGGTCACTGCACCCCACTTCTGCCGCCCCCCAGCATCCTGAGACAGGGGCTCGGGCCTCTCCATTGTCTCTCCTCGGCTGCAGGAAGGGATCTCCAAGCTGCGTGGCAGGGAGGTGGGCCGGGTGGGGCCTCTCCTGGGGGAGAGCCGATGAGGCCCCGGGGTGAGTGGGGCAACAGGGAGCAGGGCCTGTTTGGGGCCCCGGGGCCACACAGGACTGGGTCTAGGCTCTCTGTGCCTCTGCCCGGTGCCAGGGCCACGCCCTGTGTGCTGCATCAGCTCTCCCGGTCACTGTGCTCTGTGGCGAACGGTCGGACAGCAGCAACTTAACGGGCCAAGTGCTGGCAGGGTGCAGGGTGCAGGGGCCAAGAGCCTGGGGTCACGGGGCCCTCGGACAGAGCTCGGCCCCATGGGCCCCCAGCCCCACCCACCATGGCTCTGTGGCCGTGGCTGACGGCCAGTGTGGGAGAAGAAGCCGGGGTGGCGTGGGGCCGAGTGGGCACGTGGGGTCCAGAGCTTCGTGCACCGTTTCCTGTGGGGAGGGGACGGCCTGGGATGCCCTGATGTGCTGGAACAAGGCAAGGACAGGAGGCCCTCCCTGGTGCTGCCGCCGGCCATCCCGCAGGGCCCTGGGATTTGGGGAGACGCGGGCTCTCGGGCCCTCCTGCCACCACAAGCGCTGCGGGGGCTTTGGTGAGCTTCTGTGCAGCGGCTGAGGCTGGGGGAGACCTGCTGCCGCGGCGGCATCTCTCAGGCTGGGTTCGGAGAGCTTCACGCTAACCAGGCATCCTTTGTGTGGGGCCCGTGTCCTGCAGCCCAAGTGTGAGCGCAGTGCCTGCCCAAGGGCGGTGTCCCCCCAGGTGTGGCCAGTGTCCGTCAGGAGCCAGCACCCACCTGCTGACGGGCGGAGGCTCCTGAGCTCCTGGACGTGGGGCTGGCTCAGCCTGGCTCTTGGGCTGAAACAGAGGCTCAGAGGCAGACGGACAGAGTGAACCCAGCGGCGTTCACACTGCCTCTGGGGGGCACCTGTTGCTGCCCTGGCTTTTTCCCATGGTCGGTGAGCGACATGCTAGGGTTTTCGTGTTTGAGAGCCTGTGTTTGTTGGTAAGCTGCCCTCGTAAGGAGTTAGGGATCATTGTGAGGCTCCGTGACACAGGGGTTATTCGCTGTCTGAGGAATCCGTGTTGTTTGAAGTCATAATTGCACTTTCTAGACACCCCTTCTGTCCCTGGCAGAAATGGGTTTTTAACTGCAGAGGTTTTGGACTTGTTGTTTGCCAAGGTGGCAGAATGGATGGAGCCTCAGGAAGAGCCTCGATAATTGATCATTACTGTGGTGTTTGATTTCCATCAGAGGGGCCTGGTGTGTGGGGCTCCAGGGACCAGGGGCACCTCCATTCGGGAGGCCCCGGGGAGTCCTCCTTCACCTTCCTGTGCCCGAGCACTCACCCCCTGCACAAGCACAGCCCTATCCACCGGTCTGAGGTCAACCTTGTCACCTGGGATCCCGGTCGGAAACGCCCCCCACCCCCCATGCCTGAGCCTGGGGCTGCAGGGTCCAGTGGATGGAGCGAGGGGAGGAGGGCCTAGGCAGCCTAGGAGCTGAGCTGAGTGCCGCCCAAGGCTGTGGCTCACGCTGCAACACCTCCCTGACCAGCCGTGGACTGGCCACTGGCGGAAACAACCCTGGTCAAGTGCTCTGCTTTCTTTTGCAGATGTGGATGAGTGTGCAAATGGAGGTGCCTGTGGGGAGGCGCGCTGCAGGAACCTGCCAGGCTCCTATTCCTGCCTCTGTGACGCGGGTTATGCGTTCAGCTCCCAGGAGAAGATCTGCCAAGGTACCCCTCCACACACATGCACACCGTATGCCACACTCACACCTGTGAACACGTGTGGGCTCGTGTATGCATCCATGCACACACAGCACATGCACACGTCACACGCATGGGTAACACATGCATGTGCACACACCTGTGCGCACATACAAGCTTGTGTATATGTGTGTGCGTGCCCACACATGTGCACACACATCGCCCATGTGTGCATACCATACACATATGCATCCCCAGGTGCCTCTTCATGCAACAAGGCACCTTCTCCAAACTGCCGCAGACACAGTAAAGATTTGAGGAGGAGGGACCCCTGTGCCACTGTGACAGATGAACCTCTAGCCAACCCTCAGGTCAACCTGCTGTGTTTGGGGACAGCTAATGAGCACTCCCTGTGTCCAGTGGGGAGCACAGAGAGGGCTTGTTTTCTTACCAGTCTGCCTGCCCTTCCCTTCCAAGGGGAAAGTGGGGTGGCCCCAGCCTGCACACCCTGCACACCCTCCTCCGTGTTCCCTGCAGGGTGTCCCTTGGGCCCCTGAAGCAGCCGCAGGGACACCTGCCAACGGCACCAGACCCTTCAGACCCTCAAGCCAAGAACTGCATAGACGTGGTTTGTGCACTGACCTGGTAGCTTGTTCCTTCAGCTGGAGAAGAAGCAGAGGAAGAGACCACTGACCAGCCCTGCACGTGGCTGCAGAGCTGGGGGAGCGCAGGGTGTGGCCTGGGGGTGGGTGCCTCCTGAGTCACACGCTCCGGAGCTCATTTTCACGGTGAGCACACCATGGGCATGATCAGAGAGATGGCGTGGGCGCTGCACATGGTGAAGTTTGCCTGTCTCCCTTGTGGTGGCAGATGTGGACGAGTGTGCGGACGGGCGCTGTGAGCAGGCCTGCGTCAACTCCCCAGGGGGTTACACCTGCCACTGTGACGGGCGTGGAGGCCTCAAGCTGTCCCCGGACATGAACACCTGCGAGGTAGTGTCCTCAGGGAAACGGGGCCACCAGAAAACCTGGTGTCCCTGGGGCCGGTGGCGGTGCAGGACAGGATGTCTGTCCCATGCATGACATCTCGAGGGCAGCTCCCCACCCACAAGTGACCCGGTGGCCTGCGCCCAGAGCACACACTGCCCTCCCTGTCCGCGTGCTCGGGCTCCGGGACACGTGTGCAGTCAGAGTCTCCTGACTCACCGGCCGGACCCCCGCTCGGCTCACACCTGCCGGTCTCCGGGCTGTAACAGGCTCTGGGTTTCGGTCAGAGCCCGGCCGGCAGAGCGGCAGAGACGGGGCTCCACTGCGTCCTGACAGACCCGGTGACTGGGAGGGGCTGTCCCTGGGGCGGCCCGCCTGACACCCCTCGTTCCCATCGCACAGGATATTTTGCCCTGCGTGCCTTTCGATGTGGCCAAAAGCATGACGTCCTTGTACCTGGGCCGCATGTTCAGCGGGACGCCCGTGATCAGACTGCGCTTCAAAAGGCTGCAGCCCACCAGGTGAGAGGCAGCTCACGCAGCGCAGAGCAAAGCGCAGTGGACGGGAGCCCGAGGCATGGCCGGCCCGACGCTCCCGGGGACCACCGGCCCCCACCATGCCCCGGGCAGCACCCCAGTGGTCCTGGCGGTTGGCCCAGTCCCTGCCCAGCCACGGCAGCACGGTTCCAGCTCTGGGCCCCCGGGTCAGCATGGGAGCCCGCCACTGCGGGGGCGCTGCTTCTGGCACCCAGGAAAGCATCCCAGGCTGCCCGCACACCGGCTGTTCTTCCCCGTCTGTCTGGGTCTCATGGGGCAGGAGGCCGTGAGCCGCCAGTCCGCGTGTCACCTGTTTGTCTCTTGTGCTGGCACTCAGGCTGGTCGCCGAATTCGACTTCAGGACCTTTGACCCCGAAGGCGTCCTCTTCTTTGCTGGAGGCCATCAAGACAGCGCCTGGATCGTGCTGGGCCTGCGAGCCGGCCGGCTGGAACTACAGCTCCGGTACCACGGTGTCGGCCGCGTCACCAGCAGTGGGCCTGTCATCAACCACGGCATGTGGCAGACGGTGAGTGTGGCCACCACCGCCCCCAGGCCGGCCGGGGTCAGGGGCTCCTGGGGGAGGGCCCTGGCATTTGCACACCCGGCAGTTAGGGGACACCGCACAGGAAGTTCACAGTTGATGGGTCAGGAGCTGCAGTCTCAGCGAGGCCGTTCCCCTGGGACACTGGGCTGTGTCCCCAGACGGTTCTGTTCCTCATGGCTGCCAAGAGCTGTGGGGGCTGCTGGTCACCCTGGAGCACACAGGAGGCCCCACCGCAGAAAACTGTCCGGTTCAGAATGTCCGTGGCGCTGAGGCTGGGGCCCCTGGGCTGAGGTCTGGGCACGGCTCCCATGTCCGTGTGTCTGCACCATCCTGGGACCCAGCTCCTGCGGCCTGTGCCATTCCTGCAGAGACGCAGACACACTCACACGCAGGCGCATCCTCCTGGAGAACGCCCTGCCCACCCAGAGCCTGACCTGTCGGTCCCGCTGAGACCACTGCCCTGACCTGCACTCCAATGCCCAGAACACAGCAGTCTGTGACACGCAGGAACCTTCCAGAAGTTCAGAGGCCCCTGGTTGGAAGTGGGCTTTTAGAAGTAAGCACTTGAGAGAGAAAAGCATTGTTTTTCCCTTTGGAAGTTCAGATAAAATGGGAAATTCTGAATAAAAACAGCGTGGACGTTTGCTAATCTCCATCCTGTGGTCAGGCCCGCTGCCTTCTTTCCCGAGCTCCTGAAGCACAGGTATTTCCAGAGCGGCGGGAGGGACACCGGCAGCAAAGCTCAGATAACACAGCAGAGCCGGAGGGTCGCGGCCGCCCTTGGGGTCGCGGGGCAGGCGCTCTGCACGGGCAGCAGGAGGGGCCCCAGGGAGGGAGGGGGCTGGAGGCAGTGCCCCGGTGAGGAAGCTGGGGGACGCATGACCCAGTTGGTACAGCTGCCCCACCCGAGGCATGAACTGGCCGCCCAGGGCGGGGTCAGCCCAGAAGCAGCCCCTCCGTCCTCCCTCTCCTGACGCCGTCCTGCTCCCCCTCTTGACCACACTTTGACCCACGCACCTCCATGTTTCCCACGTTAACCAAAAAGGAAATTGATGGACTTCTGGGGGCTAGGAGGACACACAGAGTGTAGAGAGATGGGTTTTTACTTCTCCTGCATGGAAAGGAGGAAAGAATGCAAACTTGTGGAGTGAATCCACACGCCCAAGCAGCATCCCGTCTGTGCCGGGCACCTAATTACCTGCTGGGATTCAGCAGCGTGCCCTCCTGCCCTCAGTGGGGCACCGCTGTGCACAGGGGAAGTGAAGCGCCCAAGTGGGAGGCAGTGGCTTCAGCCGGGATTCCCGCTCCCTGGAAGCAGATCGTGGCGGGGCTTCGAGAAGCTCCGGAGGGGCCCAGAAGAGTGGCCCCCAGTGGCTCCACGTGGAGGAGGCGTGAAGGGAGAAGCCAGGCTGGGGGGCCCGTCAGGGCCTGGAGGGAGGTTGTGTTGGCGCGGGGGACAGCGAGAGTGCAGGCGACGACGTTGCTCCCTGCCCCGGGGTGATGGGGTGCTTTTGCAAGGTGCGCCCCCCTCACGGCCCTGGTCTTCTCTAGATCTCCGTGGAGGAGCTGCACCGGAATCTGGTCGTCAAGGTGAACAAGGACGCTGTCATGAAGATAGCGGTGGCCGGGGATCTGTTTCAGCTGGACAGAGGGCTGTACCATCTGAATCTTACCGTGGGAGGCATTCCCTTCAAGGAGAAGGACCTGGTGCAGCCTGTGAGTACTGTCCTTAGCCGCGGTGTGGGAGCCCAGGCTCCCACGGAGGACAGGCGTGGCCGCGAGCTGCCGTGTTTCGCGCTCACCACACTCAGGCAGCGGTTTCCCGGATGCACCATGTGTCCCTGTGAGACTCGCTTGAGTTTTCATCTGAAGCGATAATAAAAATGCCTGTTTTGCAGTGGAGATAAAACACAATGAAATTATTCTTTACCAAAAGGAACGGTCAACTTTTTTGGACAATTCCCAAGAGCATTTGGGTTGTTAACCCTGCCAGGATTTCCACAGGGGAGAAAGACTAATGGGGAGGTCAGTACTAGTCATCCCTCAAAGCCCTGCCCAGCCTCAGCCCTCACCCTCGTCAGGATCCCTCCGTCACCCAGCATGTGGATGGCCGGGGCCAGAATCCTCCACCCTGTGATGATGATTCCCACACAAATGGGAGAAGCGGGTCACGGGCACTTTGACGTTCCTCTGGTGGGAGGTGTTGGCCTGGTCCTCCCTGCAGGGGTGGAGGAGGATGTCTTGTATACAACCTGGGGCATCAGACCCCATTCCAGGGGTCCCACAGTTGCTGTTTACACCTCCTCATTTTACAGACCAGGCAAGGGTGACCCAATTTGCTCTAAACCATGTAGCAAGTTCATGGTGCACTGGAATTAGCTGCTCAGCCCCCAGACTCACATTTCCGGAGGTACCAGGCACCACGTGGACCCTCGTCCACATCCTTCCAGTGGGCGGTCAGCGCTCTGCTTTGGGAGTGAGTGGGCAAACCCAATGCAGCCAGGAAAGGTGGGCATCCATACAGGGTGCACAACATCCTTACCTTGCTTGGGAAGAGGACCCACGTGAGTGCAAGGACTCATTCTGTCCAGTGAGGAGCCCTTTCCGGAAATAAACAGTCTCCGCAAGTAGGACTTGTCCATTTTGCAGTGGATTTACACACGCCTGAGCCACGCATCCCATCCCTCTGACCAGGGTGGCACCAGCCACATGGCCTCCCGCCGTGGTGTCTGGGAGCCTGTGATGTGGCTACATGGTCCTGGGAAACCACTGGGATTTCTCTGTCCTTCCAGATAAACCCCCGTCTGGACGGCTGTATGAGGAGCTGGAACTGGCTAAATGGTGAAGACACCACCATCCAAGAGACGGTGAAAGCAAACCCCAAGATGCAGTGCTTCTCTGTGACGGAGAAAGGGTCCTTCTACCCCGGGAGCGGGTTTGCCTTCTACAGCCTGGATTACAGTAAGTCTCAGCTCCGGCGTGGGCACGGCCGTGGTCGGGCTTCTGCACAGTATGCAGGGCACATAGACAAAGCAGAAACAGCTTCCTCGGACAGCGGTGTCCAGGATAAGCTGATGACCCATGGGCTGGGGCTGCCGCTCAGGGTGACTGCTCCCAGTCAGGGTTTCCAGTGAGCCGGCGAGGAAGAAATGGCCGATGGGAGCCGATGTCCACCTTGCTTGCGCTGGGACAGCTGGGGGTGGGCAGGCAGGTGGGACGGAAGGGTCTGAGGGGATGCTTGCAGAACGTCCTCGGACGAGATGAGCTTAGGTTTGTCCGAGCTCTGCTTGCAGTCACCAGAGCCTTGTGAGCAAACAGGGGCAGCATCCAGAGATGGCAGGTGGCTGCCTCTAGGGCTCCAGGGGGCTCAGGTGCTGAAGGGAAGAACCAGAGGAGCAGGGGTGGTGGCCGGCCCTGCCGTGTTGCCAGGGCCCCGGGGCTCTCGGCAGAGCTGGGTCCGGCCCCGCCAGCGTTGAGGGCATGCAGGGGAAAGAAGCCAGACCTGCAGGAACGGCCCTTCTTGAAGCTCCTGTGATGTCCACGCACAGCCGAGGAGGTGGGGCGGGCGGTCGAGGGCCCCCCGCCCTGAGCCCACGCCCAGTGGACGTCTGGCCGTCAGTGCAGCGAGAGGGGCTGCAGGGGGCCGGGGGCTGGCCGGAGGCCCTCCCACCTCTGGAACGCAGGGCCCGTCCTTTCTTAGCACAAAACACAAGCCTCTTGCCTTTTATTGCCAAATTCACTTTACTGTAAAAACTCATAACCCTAACATGCTGACCAAGGAGCAGTCACTTAAACACACACTTCACGGGGCACGAATTGACGTTCTGAACCACCAGGCTGTGGGAGCTCCCGGATGCTGGCGTGAACCCCATGAACAGCGCGGGTCATGGTGACGGCTAAGCAGTTCTATTGTCTGACTCTGGGCTCCGTGGATTTTCCCTAATCCTTCCCTTAGTTAGCTTTAAAATTAACCCTGATTCTTGAGCACTCACGTGCTGGAGCCCTTAATGGTCACTGTGCCTGGAGAGCGAGGACAGCGTGTACGGGGCCCAGGGAAATGTCCAGGCGCGTGGCCGTGTGGGGTCTCTGGTGGGTTCACGGCCCAGGTCCCTGCCACGCAGCCCACGTCCAGAGGCTGGCTGTCTGGTGGCCCTTAAGGTGCCTCTGTTCCCGCCTCTGGCCAACACCCTGGTGCAGACAGGCTCCCAGGGGCTGCAGCGGCTGCTCCCCAGGGCCATCCCAGGCTCTGCCCTGCCTCTGTCCACGTGGCGCTCGCAGCCCCCTCTTCCCAAATGGCGAGCTGGTGTGTTAAATTACAACCCACACCGCCTCTCCAAGAGGACGGGGCCACACCCCCTGCCACAGCACCCCCCACGCGTCCGCTCCAGCACCTGTGGGCCCCCCGGCTCAGAGGACACGGGGCCTGCTCCCCCTTCCTTAGTGAGGCGGCCATCCCCTCAAGACCTGGGGTCACCACCCCTTTCTATCTTTGCTTTAATGGTCAAAACCATTCTTGTGCCCGTAAAGGTATTACTGAGAAAAGAACCACCCAATACAATACACACGTTATTCCTTTAGTTTTCATGGTTATACAGGAAAATCTAGAACATCATCATAATATTTAATATAAAATCTCACCTGTAAAGCACTTCATGACCTTTCCTCGAAGCATCATCCCCACTTCCTGTGCTGGGACACAGGCCTGGGCAGAATCCGCAGTGGCGTGTCCCCTTACGTGGAACACCACGGTCCGCGCACGCTTCTGCAGCTGGCTTTGTCAGTCAGTTCTATGACAGCAAAGGCCAGAGGGTATTTAGAACTCTATGCATTTTTAATAAACCTCCAACGATACCATTTTATAACTCAGAAGAGCCTCCTTGGGATGTCCCAGAGTCTGTACCCAGCAGCAGTTGGAGGTGGGAGACCTCACTTCCCCCCACCCCAAGAGGCCCCCCGGCACAGCCAAGGCCCCAGCATCGGAAGCACTTCCGACCACACCATGCGCCTGGTCTCATCACAGGAAAACTCGGTGCCAAGAAACACTCCTCTCCTCTGATGGAAATAAAGGCAACACTTGGCCACAGGGAAGATCGCTGGGTTTTTTGGTTTTGTTTTTGGTTTTTTGGCTGCTTTTTCCAGTTCTGCGTGCATTCAATTCAGTGGACAATTATCAGGAACGGACCATAGCAGACCCCACTTAGGGCCGGGAGACCCACAGATGGTTCAGGGTGCTCGCAGTCCAGTGGAACCCAGGTCATGGTTCACCTCGGCGCCAGCCCACCTGCGGCAAGGTCGTCTGAGCTCCCACGGATGCAGCCCCTGCTCCGGCATCACCCGCCCGAACGGGCTCCTTCGTCGGGACGTTGACAGTCTCTGAGACAGACGCACCCAAGCCGTGGGGCGGAGGGGGTCTTCGCGTGTTGCCGTCAGCAGACGATTCAAGCGTATGGAGGAAATGTGCATTGTATTTGCCCCCAGAGAACCACGGTCCAACCCTTTCTACCAAAATGTTTTCTGGAACTGTCCGTGCAAGATCCGTAGGGATAGCCTACATGTCTTCCACTCGGACGCTCGTGCGTCCTATCACTCATACCTCACATACGTAGACACAGGCGCCCAAGTGAGGGGTAAAGTGCTGGCCATGCCGCGCTCATGGCGTGAAGCCGTGGGGTCTGAGAAGGGCGCGTGGTGCTGCTTGCCTTCTAAGGTCTTCCAAGCACGTCCGACTTGGTCGAGCCCCCTGAAAGGTGCAGGTGAGATGCCGTGGGGTTGAGGGCCGGGCGCTCCAGCGTGTCCTGCAGGAGAGGAAGGGGGGATGCCAGGGAGGGGCGCCCACGGCCCATGGGGCACATGATGGGTCAGGCGCTGGCAGCCAGCGAGGACACAGCCACCCCCGGGGGCCCACGTGCTCCCCAGTGGTCGGCTCCCTGGGGACAGGTTGTCCCGTGGCCTCCGCAGCAAGGCGGGGCCGACGGCTGCCACCCCCACTCACCGCGGCCGGCCCTGCCTGGATCACCTTCTGACGTGCGGCCCTCACCGCAGCTCAGACATCCGCGGACGTCAGCACGGAAGCAACCTGGCAGATAGAGGTCGTGGCTCGGATCCGCCCCGTTACCGACACGGGGGTGCTGCTGGCGCTGGTGGGCAGTGACCACGTGGTGGTCCTCTCCGTGGCCCTGGTTGACTACCACTCCACCAAGAAGCTCAAGAAGCAGGTACCCCTCGCTGCTACCCCAGGCCTCCCCTCCCGGGCGGGTCCCCAGATTCTGCCTCGGGAGGCTCTGTCCCCACATCGCACGGCCCTCACGGGTCCGACAGCCGCAGAGCTGGGGACACTGCTGACCCGAGGCCGCCCAGCAGCCTGGGGGCAGAGCCATGTGGGCCGTGGCCCGGGAGCAGTTATGCGGTGGGGCAACTTCCCACCAGGCAGTCGGCCGACATAGCAGTTTAGAACAACGTGCCTCGGTCGGTCACTCACTTCTGTCACACCACTTCACTGACCAGTGCAGACTTCTGGTTTCTCCTGCACACTCAGATGTGCCTGCCTGGACCGAGCCCCTGGGTGCTTCAGGCCTGTGTCCAGCCATCCCTTCACACCCAACCAAGTTGACCACCGCTGTGTGGGACCCCCTGTTGCTCAGGGAACAGCCAAGGGGCACTCGCCTCTGTCCAAAGTGGGCGGACCTGGCTGAGCGGGAGGGTGCGTGCGCCCCTGGCCAGCCTGCCCCACCGCCGGTCCAGCACTAGGCTCCCCGGACTGGGAAGTAGCAGGCCCGCCGCAGACCCCCCACCACCGAGCACTAGTCCACACACTGTCTGGACCTGCAGACAAACAGCTCGGGCACCCACAGGGCACTGCCAACCATCCCGGGACGCGAACAGTGAACGACGCTGGGCCAGCTGTGTGACCGTCCCCTGTTGTGTCCATCCCCTGCTGTGTGTCCGTCCCCTGCTGTCGGGCTGTGTGTCCGTCCCCTGCTGTGTGTCCATCCCCAGCTGTGTGTCCGTCCCCTACTGTCAGACTGAGTGTCCGTCCCCTGTTGGGCTGTGTGTCCGTCCCCTGCTGTGTGTCCATCCCCTGCTGTCAGACTGAGTGTCCATCCCCTGTTGGGCTGTGTGTCCGTCCCCAGCTGTGTGTCCATCCCCTGCTGTCAGACTGAGTGTCCGTCCCCTGTTGGGCTGTGTGTCTGTCCCCTGCTGTGTGTCCATCCCCTGCTGTCAGACTGAGTGTCCGTCCCCTGTTGGGTTGTGTTTCCTTCCCCTTCTGTCGGGCTGTGTGTCCGTTCCCCAGCTGTGTGTCCGTCCCCAGCTGTGTGTCCGTCCCCTGCTGTGTTTCCGTCCCCAGCTGTGTGTCCGTCCCCAGCTGTGTGTCCGTCCCCTACTGTCAGACTGTGTGTCCGTCCCCTGTTGTGTGTCCGTCCCCAGCTGTGTGTCCATCCCCTGCTGTCAGACTGATTGTCCCCTGTTGGGCTGTGTGTCTGTCCCCTGCTATGTGTCCGTCCCCAGCTGCGTGTCCGTCCCCTGCTATGTCAGTCCCCTGCTGTCGGACTGTGTGTCTGTCCCCTGCTGTGTGTCCGTCCCCTACTGTCAGACTGTGTGTCCGTCCCCTGCTGTCGGGCTGTGTGTCCGTCCCCTGCTGTGTGTCTGTCCCCTGCTGTGTCCGTCCCCTGCTATTGGGCTGTGTGTCCATCCCCTGCTGTGTGTCTGTCCCCTGCTGTGTCCGTCCCCTGCTGTCAGACTGTGTGTCTGTCCCCTGCTGTGTGTCCGTCCCCTACTGTCAGACTGTGTGTCCGTCCCCTGCTGTCGGGCTGTGTGTCCGTCCCCTGCTGTGTGTCTGTCCCCTGCTGTGTCCGTCCCCTGCTATTGGGCTGTGTGTCCATCCCCTGCTGTGTGTCTGTCCCCTGCTGTGTCCGTCCCCTGCTGTCGGACTGTGTGTCTGTCCCCTGCTGTGTGTCCATTCCCTGCTGTCGGGCTGTGTCCTTCCTATGCTGTCAGTGTTTCTGGCCCACGTTATCAGAGGTGAGTTCTGCCTGGGATGAACACCCAGTGCATGTGACCAGCTGTCTCCTGGGATGTTTGCCTTTCTGGCCCCGCACCTCTGGCCTCTCTGTTATGGCTTATGTGGCATTTTCATGTGGAAGAAGTGGCCGTGTCCTGTGTTCTGGATTACGGACACGCGGGCGGCACATGCGCGTAGATGGCTGGAGAGTACGGTGCCCCCGACGCCTGGACTGGGAGGGTGTTGCTGCCCCATCTGTCCTCTGTCCACCTTCCACATGTGGAAGGTGAGTCCCACAGCAGTGCACCACAGAATGCAGAGCCTTGGCCGCCGGAGACCAGCGCCCCCACGGCGGGCTCGGGGGGCAGGGAGACAGGACAGGAAGCCCTCTTGCTCAGGTGCGTGTCTCCCCACAGCTGGTCATCCTGGCCGTGGAGGGTGTTACCCTGGCCCTGATGGAGATCAAGGTCTGTGACGGCCAGGAGCACCGAGTGGCTGTCTCCGTGCGGAAGGATGAGGCCACCCTGGAGGTCGACGGGACCAAGGGCCAGAGCGAAGTGAGCGCCGCAGGGCTGCAGGAGCGCCTGGCCGTGCTCACGAGGCACCTGCAGGGCTCTGTGCTCACCTTCGTGGGCGGCCTGCCAGGTAGGGCTCCCACGGCTGCACCCTCGGGGTGGAGGCACCCACGGTTCCGACCGTCCCCAGCATGCTCACTCCAGACTGGGCCCGGGCATTTCTGTGTAGGGTGAACTTTCATTTTAGCAGAAGAAAAAATGCAGATGCGTTTCTTGGCTGGCATCTCACTGCCTTAGGGTCTGTCAGTGCTGGCTTTGCAGTTCGGGGGGTGAGGCTGGGACCACGCTTACTGGGATGAGCCTCGGCCCGAGCCTGCTGTCCCTGCGTCCTCCAAGAGCGCCCACCTGAGCATGCATCAGACAGAGGCTTGGCCTAGCAGCCGGGGGCACCTCGCTGGAGTCCAGGCACCCTGCTCCCGATGCACAGCTTCTGAGCACAGAGTCACCTCCAGCCCCGTGCTACCTAGGAAGGGGCAGCGTACAGCCATCTCCTACAGACTGGGTCCCGTGTCTGACCAGGTGCAGTGTGCTTGCCCGTGGCCCTGAGTGATCAGGGTAAAGCAGTAGAGAGCGGTCCAGGGCAGCCGCTGATGTAAGCCCCCATGGCTCCCCGCCCAGCCCCCACGGCTCAGTGCAGGTCTCCACTTGCCGCTTGGGCCGGGGTTCCTGTCTTGACTAGCAGACACAAGCTCCATTTAGTTTCAACAAACAAACCTTTGAAGAGGATGGGCTGGGAGGCTGGGAGCCCTGCAGCGTGAGTGACTCATTTGTGCCGAGAAGGAGATCAGGTTGATTTAACTGATTCGACTTTCTGCATGCACTTCCTGGGGGCCGGGCAGGTGTTTAGCGCTCGCCTGTGGGCGTGTGACTGAGCTTTCTGGGCAGAAAGGAGTCCGTGTCCTGGAGGAGAAAGGCCGGGGACGGAGACGGCCCTCGGGTGCCCGGGAGCACCGTGGTGGGGGACGAGGAGGATGGGCAGCCTGGCCTCCAGACGGCCGGCCGGCCTGCCTGCTAAGATGGTGTTTGTTCTTTCCCCACTGGCCCAGATGTGCCTGTGACCTCAGCGCCAGTCACGGCCTTCTTCCGCGGCTGTATGACACTGGAGGTCAACCAGAAGGCGCTGGACCTGGACGAGGCCGCCTACAAGCACAGTGACATCACGTCACACTCCTGCCCCCCGGTCGAGCAGGCTGCCCCCTAGGCTAGCAGGAGGAGGGAAGGCCTGCCACCCCCACCCGCCCGCAAGGCCAGCTCTGGACACTGCGCCCCTCCAGGCTGAGTCTTCTCCAAGACTGTTGTTGCCTTGTAACATACGTGTATATAGTTGAGGGACTGATGTTAACCACCCAAAGCCACAGCCCCAAACCCAGTGCGTCCAGCGTGTGGAGGCCAGGGGCTGCCACATGCCAGAGCAGACCCAAGAAAATAATTCTGTTATTTTTATTACCGAATGCTTCTTTTTGGCTTAAAAATATGGGAAATAAAATATTTACAGAACCCTTTTTAACTGTGCTGCAGGCTCCGCTCCTTGCTCGTTAGTGCCCAGCAGGTGGTGTCAGGAGCCCAGGGTCCTGAGTACCCGCCCAGCTCCACCCTCCCCTGCACCCCTACTTGGCTCCTGGCTCTGGGAGCCGCTGCCCTGCTCTCTGTGCTGTGGACACAACTGAGGCGGAGGCGGGGCCCCGGTCGCCCCTCCTGGCACAAGGCAGGTCAGCATGTGCTTCTTTCTCCCTGGACGAACCCATCTCGGTCTCCCATTTTCTCTGTATAAAACGGAAATCCCTGTTTCCTCTCTTCTGAGAAGCACATCTGGCTGGAACCCCTGGAATCAGCACACGCAGGTCCACCTGCGGCTCTGTGAGACAAGGTGGGCCAGACGAGCCTCTGGCCCCAGGAAGACCACCATATGGAAATGCATGTGGGGCCCCGGGCCCACCAGCACCCACAGAGGTCACGGAAGCCCGGGGCGGTGGTGGGGCAGACCAGTGTCGAGGTTGGAGCTCCAGCAGGACAGGTCCATCTGCCTGATGTGATGGCCACAGGATGGCTGGTGGTCTCCGTCGCGGCGGGCGTCCATGCACAATGCGCCAGACAAGTTTCCAGCATCCACTGGGGATTGGGCTCGAAGACTGAATGGCTCCTCCAAGACTGAGATTCTCCTTTTTTAGATACCAAACCCCAGAGAATGTTCTGGGGCTGTGGGACAGGTCTGGGCTATGTTTCCTTTCAGATGTTGCTCTGCGGATGTGGCAGCAAAGTGACCCACAGCCCTGTCATTTCTCAGTAGGGTGTGATCTCTGCAAGCTGCATCAGCCCAGCATGGAGCAGTCTGGATTTCGGTGCCTGACAGCTGAACGTGAGTCTAGAAGTCACAATCTGACCCAGAGATGAGCATGTGCAGGAGGAAGGACAGAAGCCTGAGGAGCGCACCCACAGCTAAGGAATGAG